TATTCAGTCATGCTTTGTTTCTGTTTGTTTGTTGTTTAACGCCGCACTCAGCAATATTCCAGCTATATGACGGCGGTTTGTAAATAATCGAGTCTGGACCAGACAATCCAGTGATTGACATCATGAGCATCGATCCACGCAATTGGGATACGATGACATGCATCAACCAAGTCAGCGAGCCTGACCGCCCAATCCCATTTACGGCAAGCATGGGTTGCTGAAGACCTATTCTGCCCCGGTTCTTCACGGGTCTTTAGTCACGGTAGAATGGAGATGAACATACTCTGTTTTTAATGTAGAGCTAGGTTACCTATGGATTTAACCGCGCTAAATTTAACATTTGAAATCTCACGCTGTTCGGTTTCAAATTCAATTTAGCGCGGTAAATTTACATGTAACGTTCTACATTGAAAACACAGTATGTTTATCTCTTAGGTATCATATCAGAAACAACAGTTGCTGTTATATACGTTTTATTCACGACATCTTCAACAATTACCCTGGCTACAAATTGTACTGCCTACAGAAATGTGAAACGTATAACCAGCATCTGCACATGCCTTCAGAATACTCTGTCTTGTGTTGTCTGTGGAGGATATGACACTTTATTTCCAAATTTGTACCTTTAATTTCAGTTCTCTGCTCGTTAAAGTTCCCGGGCAGAGAAATGTAAATAATATTTAGTGGGCTGTATGAACGTCAAGAGCTTGTGTAATATTTATAGAATAACCCACTCGTACCGAGGGGGTTATGGTATTTATTACCCATATTCATATTAAAGACATGTTTCAAGAAAAAACAAAAACAACTGTCGCCGATCAAGAATCAGCTGTTTTGTATCAATCCGCGTATGAAAAAACACTGTCCACTCATTCCAACCGCATTACTCAATTAAAGTGTTATTACGCGTGAAAAATATAGTTCTGTTAAAAAATTGTAAAGATCACATTATTGCAGTTATATTTCTGTCCGATTTACACAGCGTACACTATCTAGCATTGATAAAGAAGACAGGTTTCAAAAAAGGTTCATCAGGTTTTTTAATCAAAGCTTGTTTTGACAAGATCTCGTCACTGACGTTACAGCCCCAGTCGTGCATCGGCAGAAACATGCATTTCACATTGAGAAGAGGAAACACGGAAAACCTGTCAATTTTTTAATGTGTCATTTGACAAAAATGCCAAAACCTATAACAACAACATAGACGGAATGTACAGAAGTCCTATTTGTTAGAGAAAAGTTGCGAAAAGAAGGTAAACTTTGAAAAGTACGATTGCTGTCACAGTGTCGGAATGAATGACCCGACTTGACCCAGATGAGACAGCCGAAACCAGGAATGACAAGAGAACCGGCGTTACAGTTTAATCCGGACAACAAGTTTAATGAACATCGTGTGTGATTTGAGTCAAGTGTCACTGTTGGGAAACATGTGCATGTGGGATTTCAGGAGGATTTGTCAAACGTGGAGTGGACACAGTCAGATGACGGGAGTTTGTTGATATATTGATGTGATTCATAATGGTCGAATACCTGTTGATAGACAAACACGGTATCTGGAGACTTGGTGCTAAGCTGTCCGCATTCACGGAGTTCATTTAGTCCAATATCGGACACAGGATCAGCTCGCTGGGGTAAGGTTTCCTTTCCTTGTATTTTTAATTCTTTTTGCTTAGATTTCAAAACCTGTCTCAGTTCAGCAAAGTGCATCGATTTCGCAACCAGATGCTGGTAATCACGTCGCTAAGGTAACACTCTATGCTACCCTTGATCTCCTTCAAAGTAGACAGTTCGAATTCTGAACTGTCTGATGTGCATGCCGAAATGATAAATTTGCAAATAATAATGTTTAGTTGAACCTTTCCTGTGTCATTAACCCTCATAGTCATATGGTCCCCGGACGTCAGTCAGCCTGCATACCGCTCAGCACCGTACTGTGCAGACGTCGCGGTGACAAAAAACGTATAGGCTACATTGTATAAAAAGTGTCACGTTCTTATTTCTTCACACAACGTTACAAAATTGTACGAAATAGTGTATCTTTATGATGTCTTTCGGAAAGTCTAAATGTTGTTGCAAAATGAATTTGTTTTTATGCTCATACCATCGTTGAAAGTGTGAGTAGTCATATTTTTCGTGTTTTTCTTACCTGTATACATTTGTGAACAAAGTTCATGTCAACTTGTCAAGTTTAGTCTTTTTCATTGTGTTTTCATTTTCATTGGCAGTTATCGATGTCATCATCGTTCACAAAGGCAAACCTGTCTATACAAAGTCCGGTTTTTGGATTCGGGTGTTCGAAAAATTCATAAACAGCAAGCCCTCTAGGCCTAACACAGACGCAAACCAGGACTTGGTGGTGATGATCTTGGCGCCCTAGAAACAGTTTCTGGCAACATCACAATCTGAATCTTGGAACTTCAATCTGGTCATATGCAGCTTTGACAACAAAGACATTAAATGTGTTCAGAGGTTGAATTATACGAATAACTTTTCATGTCAGTCAGATCTCCGTCCGCTTAACGAGGTCATTTACTTTGACAGGTCTCAAATGGCCAGCCATGTTTGTTTACAAACGGGGACGTAGTTTTGGTTTTTACTGTAAAATAAAAATCATGTGAAATAAATGAAAAAAATGATAATGTGAAATCATGTTGTTAATATGAAACTATGTGTCTTGTCTTAAAAATCTCGAGTCAGTGAGATTGTAGCACGTAAAACATCTGAAGGGAAAGGCGTGGATTTGTGAATGAATGGGATGAGAAAAAAATAGTTCCGTTGTCCAATGAAAATTGATCTTTGTTTTACTGACCAATCAGCTTCGAGAAACACTAATTGCACATTGTGCAAATATCAAAAAGTTATTACACTGAATATTTGAGCCCATATGGGTAATATTTCCGGGTTACACTCTCTTTAGATTTATCTTTAGGTTATAAAAATCACAACGGTTTTGTGGTTTAGCCTTGTTTATTGCGTCTTCTACTATTTTTCTAGGGTAGTTCCTTTACAATAGTGACTCCCTCAGTTCATGGAGTCTTTATTGTGCACGATCTGAATTAGATACTATCGCGCAGATTCTACGTGCTAATGGGCAAGGGACACAGTTTTAAGTATGACGGGGGTGACAGGAATTGTAATTGGAATTTGGAATCGGTTGGTTTGTAATAAACATCTGTTTCAATGTTATTCTTTGAAATTGTATCATCTCTAAAGTAAAGGTTAAATTTGGATGAAGTGTCCGTAAAATATCTATCAAATATTGTAAATCGTCTTCATTCCGATTCCACAGAACAAAACAATCATCTAAAAATCTTTTCCATTTGTTTTAAAATCCCTGTCCAAATTCAATGCCAAATTTTTCATTATTTTTTCAGTAGTTTTTCCTCCACATAACCAAGTACAAGTGTCGCACACGTAGGGGCCATTTTCGACCCCATTGCTGTGCCTTTAACTTGTTTGTAATGAGAACCATCAAAATTAAAAGTATTATTGTTTAGAATTAACTAAATACTATCGATATTGAATTCCGAGGTAATGTCTTCTCGGATTTCCGAACGGTGTTTGTTTATCCAGTATTCAAAAGTTTCTTTGCCGAGATCATGAGGAATGTTTGAATATACACTAACTACATCAAAACTAACTAACTTTGTACCATTTTCGACTGCGGCGGGAAGTTGGTTAAGAAAATACTAAATACTATATATATTTTTTTTTACTGACTTTGACAAATTTGAGTTCCAATGTTGTTTGAAATACTAGTCTGGGGGGGGACTCTCATTTTCTTTTGAAGACAATATGAGTTATCTCCCCTAAAACGAACACTTTACCAAGATCAGAATTAGTGAGATTCTTGGTTTTGATTGATTTGGCATACTTTTGGGATGATTTGTTCCTCATGTGTTATTTAAATTTACTTGATTCAACGGGGTACGTTTAAACCTTTTCAAAAATGTCCTAGAATGTGTGGAAACGCCATTGTTCCCGGGATCACACATGCATCATAATAAAAAAAAATTAAATCCATCGAATAGAGTTTCATCAGCCTGACCAGCGTCCGTGTGTTATCTCAGTTATCACCTGTTGTAGATAGACCTGATAATTATTCAACCTCATCTGTATTAAGCAGGAGACTTTATGAATGTCAATTCCTCACTCCATCATCGGGTGAATCATTCACCTGATGAAGGACTAAGTATATACTCAGAAACGTTGTGTTCCTCACAATAAAGAAGTTGACATCCATAAATTCTCTTCCTTGTGTGTATCACCTCTAAATGCCATTCAATTCAATGAGTCCATCTTGCCATAAAAGGTGACTATGCTTGTCGTAAAAGGCGACTAACGGGATCAGGTGGTCAGGCTCGCTGACTTGGTTGATGCATCGTATCCCAATTGCGTGGATCGATGCTCATGATATCAATCACTGGATTGTCTGGTTCAGACTCGATTATTTACAGACCGCCGTCATATAGCTGGAATATTGCTGAGTGCGGCGTTAAACAACCAACCAACCAACTGTATTGTGGGCCGCCAACAGTGGACCATCTGAAGCAGCCATATAATCCCCATACACCCTTCACATCACTCAGACACCCGACACTGTCACATTACTCACATACATGTACACACAAACTCAATATTTCGTGATAACAATTTTATTGGCTGAAGACATTTTTACATGAGACAATTTCTTCTCAGAAGTCAGCATATCACAGAAGTTGACAAAGACGAGAAACTCGAGAGAAAGGCAAGTGGTGATTTTACGACCTCTTGCTTTACTCATGTTAACATTGACCAACCAGGGTGTGTGGACAATTCTGACAACACGATATCCATCCAATCAATTCAGCAGCCTTTTTATTGACAAAGTGGAAGACCTTAGCTCTAAACTAACTTGCACTACCCTTAGAATCAAGAATGGTGCTGTCTATTTAATGTTTGCGGACTATTTCATTGATGAAATAGGGGTCAAAGGCAAAGCTGAATCAGAAAAACACACCAGTGTAAGGATAGACCCAGTGGTAGGTTCTAAATTTCAGGTAGACAATGATATAAGAAAATACACTTAATTAGAAAAAAATATTTGCGGGAAACAGCCTCTTAAGAAAAAGAAAAGAACGATGTTCTAATGTTGCCACTATAAAATTATTACTCTTTTATAATGTCACTGGAAAAAGTCATAAAATTCAAATTGCACTGTGAGAAAACTTGAAAAGATGAAACAATTTAGTAATCACTGATTTGTATTTAGAGGAGTATGTAAAGTAACTCCGACGAGGCCACTCAAGACGACTGGACAATCCATTTTGTGTCTCCACACTGGGCACTGATCAAGACATTGCATGTATCAGGTCTATTTTGACAAAGGCATATTCTCAGCAAAAGATAATCGCGTTCAGTGTTATGATTTGCAAATCAGTGCATGCATAACAGTAAAGTAGGAAAAGGAGGAACATCTGTATTTCATATTCCTTGACAGTTATATGGACTTTTCAAGTCATCCTAATAAAACAACAAAACCACCTAGTTTCCTTCTGGTCACCATGCGAACCATGTAACAAGACTATTCCATTTGAAAAAAAATATCTCGAAAACCAAACAAACAAACCATTGAATAAGGTGTGAAAAGCACTGAAAACATTCACTGATCTTCAGTTATACTGAGGAAAATGCATGCCAACTTCTTTCTGAAACATTCACTGATCTTCAGTTATACTAAGGAAAATGCATGCCAACTTCTTTCTGAAACATTCACTAATACAGAAGCTAGAGTAGTCGGTTACCTACTTGCAAAGTGTCTTGAACCACGACATCATAAACCCATACAATCTTAAAACCACTAGCCACGTACTCTAACGTCATACTGACAAAAATAGAAGATTGAAAAACTCTTTAAAATAATTCCACTGAAATGAAGGGATTTTATGAACAAGAACCACTTCTAACTGCTTGCTAAGATAATTCAAAGATGAGAGGTTGAAATTGTGAAATACAATGAAAACTATACACAAAAGCAATGATGATCATTGAGAAAACATCTTCGTTCAATCTCATTCTAAGGGAAAGGTGCAAGAATTATGAATAATGAAATTAAAAAAATATGTTATGACAAAAAAATGAAGGGAAGGGAATTCAATGAAACAAAATATGATATGACTGAATTTTTTTTCAGATGAAAGCAAAAACATTTGGAAACAAAGAATGACTTTTGGAACAAAAACAAGCTTCAACCAAGTTGGATACGTTGATTAAGTTGACAAAAATTTAATCGTATGGTATCGTCGATGAATCATTAACAAATAACAAGCTTGTCATGTATTTTAAAATATTGTGCCAAAACTGTGCAACATTATGAAAAAGAGTATTTGAAAGTATATTCCACTTGAAAAACATTCATGATTTTTTTTTTTATCATTAGTACTCCTTTAAATTTTAACATGACGTTCTTAATTTGATGAATTTGAGAATAGTCGACTCAGTAGCCAAAACCCTCATATCTAGTAGGCTTGTTCGAAAGGGCTGGTAGTCTGGATATCTACAAATGTTTGTCCCATGAAGAACAGAACCTGTCTTGAACTGGATGACCAGAATCCAGACAATCCAGGTAAGCAAGAGACCTGTATGGATATCTTTAGTCAACAAGGAGTCCCAGCCACAAGCCTATCTCTAAACATCTGAGTACACACAGAATCATGTCACAAATTTCCTGAAATAAAACATGACACTCATAAGAGTAAGTGATCACTACCAACACCTCAGCTTGGTGCCATTGTACAAAACAACCTTAGTGCTACGACTGTCGTAAGTCTATGTTAAGGTACGAGAGTTACGATCACCTTCGCGCTAAGATCGCTCTGTACAACAGCACGCTGAACATAGGGGTGCCACAACTCACCCACAATACACCTGACAATACAATATATGATACGCCTACCCATGTATCGATTCATTTTATAAATCAGTATCCCTTTTCAAAACATAAAATTAACGCATATTTGCAATATCCCTGTCTGATAACTACAAGGGTTAGCATTAACTGACCGCCTCACAAAACCACCTTCTGAATGTGAGTACATATTACAGCCAGGAACCTCATGTACCAGTCACGCAAGTCAACAAACTGGACGACAGCAGCAACCTCTTGTTAGCCGAGGTGCATGGAAACTGGAGACTTCCGGGTCCAGTTCAAAATTTCAATGTCAGATAAAAATCTTAATTTAAGTTTCAGGGTGGGTGATTATTGGCCCTGCAAGTTTTCTATCCGACTTTCCTGATTTCTCAATATTTTATATTGTAACTAAACCAAGCAAAACCTCTAATCCCATTTCACAATCATGTTTTTACCAGGAGCAGTGGTGGTGGGGGGATGGGGGGGATGGGGTCTTTTTTGTAGGGTAGGTCTCAAAACTTGAGGAATAACGTGTTTTATCCTACAATGAACTTTTGAACTGGTCCCTAATGCAAAAACAGCGAAAATTAAGAATTGTGATGCAATTATCATGAAATGAATCGGAATATGAGGTAGGCGTATTATCATGACACCCCTACTAAAATGGTAAATGGGCGAAATCTAAATTTGATAAAATCGCTAAAATTCCTCGTAAGTGTCAACCAAGCTGCTGAAGAAGACAATCAGCTAACATACATGGTATGATCATGGATCTCTTCATTTGAATAATTGATATACAGACTTATATATCTACTCAAGGATTGGACAGACGTAACTGAAATCATTCCAGACTATTACAAGTATTGATCACATTGGATTAGCACTTACTTAGACACACTATGTACATATCAGTAGAATAATATACAGTCTACACAATAGTGAACCACAATCATTCAGTGACAACAACTCGTGATGTGCAGCCATACCACCATCTCGGGGAAAACTGCATTATTTCAGAAAACACCAGTCTAAAACATTTCATAAGATTGCAAAAAGCATTGAATTGTCATGGTATATTTTATACTAAAAGATGATTTTTTTGGCAGAATGTCCTAAAGCAACAATCACCTGATAATTTACGGCGACTTTCAATCCAGAGAATTCCATTTTTCAAATCTCTTCACATTCATGGATTTCTAGATTTAATTGAAAACCATGCCCGAAAGGGAATAACTAACTGTTTCTCTGGAATTGTCGGAAACATATTTGAATATCATTCACACTTACAAAAATGGATTAAAGCAAACTTGATCTGTGTTGGTACCTGAAGAAATCTGAATATTTTCTGTCCGTTCCATCACTCAAACACTGCTTTACAACATCAGCATCCACAACAAGCACATCCCAAAACATGTGAATATCCATAGTAACAAGGATGACATTATTTAACAGGATGACATTAACCAAGTATGCAGGATGTCATGAGTTCCCGGTCTACAGAGGGAGAACCAGGCCTCACTAGCATGACAAGGCAGAGCTCCTCGCTGGAGCGGACAGTCCTCCCCTCGATGCCGCCGCCGCCGCCGCCGCCGCCATCAACACATACACATACAGAATATAGACAACACACCAAGCTGATGCCCACAAATCAGTCCTGAACACGTTTTAGGTAGGAAATGGTAACAATATTGCCAAGGGGCAAGACATGTCACTAGCCAGCTGAAACACATAGCAAACAATACTTGACGGCAGTAAGTTTCAAAAGATGATGAAAATCGGTCATAACGTGAAAATCTGTTCTGCTGATCTGTCTTCAGGAGAGTTCACCAAAAATCCTTTCATGACAGTTTTGACAGTTTAACAGTCACAAAAATAGCAATTTTAATCAATTTTTGCAAAATTCACTGGATAAAAATTACTGCCTAATGATTAAATTTTGACACTGCAAAACACCTCAAAGGCTACTACAAAAAATTACCTACAGCCTTGCACATACCTCTCTGTGCCCATGACAAAATAAGGAAGAGAATTTATGGATGTTAACTTCTTTCTTATGAGGAACACAACGTTTTTGAGGATATACTTACTCATTCATGTCTTTCATTCAAAAAAGGAGTAAGTATATACTCCAAAACATTGCGTTCTCATAATAAAGAAGTTGACATCCTTAAATTCTCTTCCTTATGTGTATCACTTCTAAATGCCTTTAAAAGACTTCCTGACGTTATAGTTAGCAGTGCATTTGCGTGCTGAACAGCTGGCTACCTGGGTCCCCCCAGGGCACATCTAGAGGGGCCTACGGCAATAAGCTATGTACAGGTGTCGACAATGGTCATGAGATCAGGGGCTTCTAGCTCACACTACACCTGACAAGGAAGGAAGTGACACTCTATTAAGTCGCCATGGAGATGCAACGACACAGAGACGCTGGATATACACAGTAGCCACTAAATAGGAAAAATTCGCATCTTTCCTCTTCATCTTTCAGCAGACAACTTTTGAACAAAGCAGTTAGTTTCTACAACTGCAGATTAATATTACATACTGTATCAACATTTTGCGAAATGACAACCAACGATTAAAACAGATAAAATTATCTAGATGTCCTCAGCACCACAAAGGCATATACTATGACAGGAAGAGGTCCACCAACGGCATGTTCATTGATCTGCCTAGGTTGTCTCCCCGTTTACAACATCAGCGATTTAAGACACCAAACACCGAGACCTATATGAGGGAAATCATTAGTCAACAGTCCTTACACCGGTCCATGAGACCTCCCACAACTCAGTTTGACAGCCATTTTGTCCTTTCGCGTGTCTTTAGTCACATGATTACCAAATGGAGCAGCAAAATCCAGGACCGATTCCTGTGTTATGAATGTTGACATGATCAGTATGAGCTAGAAGACATCTATGTGGGTCGACATGACTACGTATGACTACAGTGGCATAACCTGGGCTCCGGACTGCAGTCAGCACTTCTGGCTCATAACTTAACAGCATTAAATGTATAACTTCTCGAGTAAGCAACACTTAAAACTCATCACTGGCATCTGAGGCAAGAATGGATACTACAGCATGTGGTTGATGGGTTGACACCGCGACACTGATACACTTCCCCGCTCACGTCCAGTATTATGGCCCGGGCCGAGGTATGGTATGTCCTGGAAATATGGGTCTTAGACCAAACTGGGACCATTTCTAGATGTTGTGAGTGAGTGAGTTTGGTTTTACGCCACTTTTAGCAATATTCCAGCAATATCACGGCGGGGACACTAGAAATGGGCTTCACACATTGTACCCGGGTCTTCGTCGTGACGAGCGAACTCTTTAACCACAAGGCTACCCGACCACCCCTTTTACATGTAGATCAACTGAGAGGAATGGAACCAAATCCTGAACATACCCATGTACTGTAGCAGGACAGAAATCTATATTCTTCTGATTCAACCTGTTTGCAATTATGTTAAGTATAGTATGGGTTTTCTTAAAGATGTTTACAAGTAGACGATGACAAAAAATGGCCCCAAATATTTCCCAATTTGACAACTGGCCAGCTCTCTCTCATATTCCTGGACTGAAGATTGGTTTCAACCATGGGATGTGCAGCATCCACATTGCCCAGAATACCAGCAGCACACATCTCTCTCTCATCCCTGTGTGAGAACATACATATAACAAGCAGCTTGTTAAAGGTCAACACTAGATCTACGAAAGACTAACCCGGACATTATAACCCTCGTACTAACTACACTTTCCTCACAATGTTCTGAATCACATGGATTATATACACAGAGTTGGAATGTTGTTACACACGAGAAGCAAGCATGGCTTTCTCTTTGTCGTACATTAAATAAGTCAAAATAATATGGACATATTCACCCCATTTAAGCCTTGTGTTCTAGAAGCGGAGGAATCACAAATTTCATAGCATAATATATCAGAACAAACAGTTCAGGTATTTTTTTCTCATTTTTTTAAAACTTCAAATATTCTCTTGGACGAAATGGAAACGAAACTGCAATAAATAAATAAAAGGAAATGTTGTTTTTGCACAATGGGCTAGCTATAAATACGACACCAGTGGACATTAATGGTTACCATGCAAATACCTGAATATATCGCAGTTAAGATGACTGGTATCATTCAAACAAACTGTCCAAGAGTCAAAGATCAAACCAAACACAGACACCACTCACAGGCTGACTCACGGGAATCCCATTTGTGATCAAATGGAATCACCTTGATGAGAACTCTGACCTTGACCTGCCTGACCTCACCTTGACCTTGTCTGCTCGTCTTCTAAGAGGCTGAAAGATTAGAGCCAGAAAACCTGGACACTCGTATCCTGTTCAGGTTTCATAACCGAAAATTTCAGTTGGTAATATTCTCCCCATGTTTTTTTCAGTCAGTCGTAATTCACAAACTTTTAAAGAACACGGATCACACTGAAACAAGCTTGGGTCAAAATGTTCAAATGTCTTTCATACTGGACCATCGAAAAGAAACCAGAAAGTTTTTGCAAAATCACATCGCTCTTCCAGCACTACTGGATACAACACCATATACACAGGATACAAACAGGGGGGTAGGTAGAGAGTCCCCTGACAGACAGGCAGGTCAGGCCACAGGGGGCTGCAACATATCACACAAACTGTCTCCATCTTCACTCCCTGCGCAACATGGCCGCTTCTGGCCACCACACTTCTAACTTTTGGAGAGGGGTGGTCGAGCTCCTCGCTGTGTCAGCCCCTCGAACCTCTTGAATGTGTAGTTGATGAACACCCAGTCCTTGTATTTAGGATCCTTCTCACTGCCCTCGGCAGTCATGTTTGTGGCTGGAAGAAAGAGACTAAATTGTAGTCACTGTACAAAATACATTCCTCAATGAAAGCATTATTCAAACATAAAACTAGACTGAAAATTGTCATTTCTATAACATAAAGCAAAACAAAACACAATACCCATACCAATATGAAAGGATTGTGATCCGTTACGTTTTTTGAGTAGTTTACTTTGTCAAATGGTCGTTTACTCAGGTCATTTTGGCTTAATCTGCTACTGTCACAAACTCAGACAGATGTTGAGCCACATTTCATTGATTGTTCGTTTATTTCTTTGTTGTTTAACGCTGCACTCAGCAATATTCCAGCTATATGACGGTGGTCTGTAAATAATCCAGTCATTGACATCATGAGCATCGACCCACGCAATTGGGATACCATGACATGCATCAACCACTTCAGCAAGTCTGACCACCCGATTCCCTTAGTTGCCTCTTACGACAAGCAGTCGCCTATTATGGCAAGAATGGGTTGCTGAAGAGATATTCTACCCCAAATCTTCACAGGTTACATTGATTTGAAGACAACAGTTTCAGAACATGTCATGTCACATGCATGAAATTTAGGAATTCCTGACAGCGCTGACTGATGTCCCAGTGGTAAGAAACTGAGAGTTATCTCCCTTTGATTGCAAGTTCAAATTTCCTCAAGGCACTGCTCAACTTGACCAACAGCTTTAACAACAACATATACAGCTGCTTCACAGATACTGCAACAGCTGAACCATATATTGCTGATAGAGAATGCATTCATATCTATGACAGGTACACTGAGGGGCCCTGAACATGGACGTATATGTACCTTCTTGTTGCTGCTGCGGAGATGTTGCTGAAAAGAGAGAAAATAGTCTGGTAAACAATTATTAAAAAAACACATTAAAAAACATAAAAACATATAAAATAGTTAAAAAATAGTCACGGACCACAGGTTAGTTGTCTTCCATGCTCAGCTTTTAATTATCCTTACGTAAGACGAAAATAAATCTTAAAAGGCAACATAAGGCTAGTGGCATCTGGATGCTCTGGCAACGACTGCATCTGGGAATATAGGAGACTTTTTTTCTCTGATGAATTTTTGGTCAATTATCTTTCAAACGTAGGAAGTGGTTGAGGTGTAATACTGAAGTGGCCTTGTCTTATTGTTTGAGTCATATCCAGCAAAGCAAAATTTAGAAAAGTAACAGCAGCCTTTTAAATTCAAGCTAGTCCGCTGCCCGAGACAACGAAACTGTGCTGAGGACAAGTGAAAATCTACTGATATATCCACTGAAATCATGGACTAGAAGCATCTTATTACAATAATTCTGAACCAGTTCTAAATACTTCACTTCTGCTACAAATTGGAACTGAATAAAACTGACAGAAATTGTAAACAGAGTAAATATTTTCATCGAGCTACAAACTCGAGTGAAATATGGTTCACACTCATCCCCGAGCTGAAACAGCATTATTATTATTACTTCCTAACCAGTTTCTAGAAATTACACACCACATGTCGACTAACACACAAGATAAACATTCTAAAAAACTTACGCCATTTGAGGTCTATTTCAGGGAAATCATCAAAATTGGACGTATCATCGATCCCCTTCACTTCTATTGGAATGGCTGCCGGACGCTCCCTGAACAAACATCAAATGATTACGGCATGACTGAATTGGGTAACAACAAATCAGTTATATACCAAAACAATGCAAGAATTTCCACAAGCTAGTATTTACCAAATTGGCTAAGGACTCCCGAGTTGTTAATTTGGGCTGTAACGATTCACTGATATCTATGATATCATCGATACTTAGGTACAGACGATACTTGAAATGTCAGTTTGTGAGATTGCTATATTCTATAAATAGAACAGAAACTAATTTTACCTCCCATAATGGCAGAAATAGCACAGCGCCACCTGTGTAAGCATGGCAGAACACAAGGACATGGCACCCTCGGACACGCCGACTAACTGTTACCCACCTGATATGTTCCCAGTCTACCATCTTGAAGAATGGGTGAGTTTTGATCTCCTCGATACCGTGGGCACCGATCCGATGCTCTCCATCACAACAGTACCTGCAACACATCAGCCAACATGAAACCTACCCAAGGATTCTCAATAACAATATCTAATCGTGTTATCGTGATCTTCTTTCTTTGCTAAAGAGAAGTTCGATGATGCAAGCATATCAAACTTAAGTTAATAATTAAAGATCCTGTGTTCTCCTGACAGTTTCATAAAGTGTCTTAATCAATTAAACCACGATGATGACAACAGGCTATTGTTCTTACAGGTACATATATATGTTCTCTGCCTCATAGTATTCATTCACCTGACAAAGGAGTAAGCATATACTCCAAAACGTTATGTTCCTCATAATAAAGAAGTTGACATCAATAAATTCTCTTCCTTGGACTATCATTGTTGCAACTGATTCTGATCCAGGAATTCACTGGCCATTCTGAACATGTAAAACAGACGCAACTTCAAGTCATTATACAAAAGTTATAAATCAACTACAACATGGTTTTAGTCGGAAACCTTCGAGTGATTTCTCCATTACAGGATCCGAAAACTAAATGTTTCATGTTTAACATTAGGATATCGACTAGGATCCCATAACTTAATCATTAATTTGCAGCACTGTATTCTACTGCGCTGACATCAGACAGCACCTCGTTTCCATGACCTGAGAAGATTCCTATCTCTCACCTATTGTTTTGAATAGATTTGTTTACACATAGCAACATTCCAACTTGTTGTTAAACAAGTGGATCTGTCTACACAACCAATGTTATTAACAGGAACACATTTTGCTTTCACAGAAAAAAGTATGGATAAAAATGTCGGCCATTTCATAGGATTTTCTACTTTGCAAACCTGTTAGAAATATGATTGTTCTTTCCAAGATAAATATTTGAAGATGTATAGTTTTCCCCAGCCAACAGTCTGACACAACGCTGCCATGGGATTATTTGCACGGGAGGCTTTCATCGTTTGCTGCAGTTGTATCTGTATTTGCCAATCCGACGACAAACACAGTTTGCATATTTGAAGATGTCTTATGCAATATTTCCTACAGAGTTTCATAAAGAAGCCACCAATACCTTCTGGCTTAAAGGAACTTAATTCAAAAGTGCTTTTGCCTGAACAATTCTTTTGTCACCTCTACATAGGAAGACATTACAAGTTCCTGAAACGTTAACCTCCAGCTTAAGAAGTTACGCAAAATGATCAAGACAGAGGAAAGGGCTACATGCTCGAAGGGTGCCTTCAAACATGGGAAAGAGGACTGCTCTTGGCAAGTGTCAAATATTTCCATTTATGACATTCATATGGATTTGCATATGCACAAACCTGACTCACTTTGATCTGTTTTCTTTTTAAACCTATTGATGTTGCCATCAGTAAGCTTGGTGACGTTCATGACATATGATATGATAATCATTTGTTTATAATGGAAATATAGAAATATCCCCATCAAAAGTAAAGAAGTACATAAGGACCCAGGAACCCCTGAATCATTCACTTGTAACAACAGGACAGTGACAAGGAACCTTGCCTTTCATGCTTATTTCAAACACTGCTTGTGATTTTTTGGAAGATCTAAGGTAACAAATTATTCAACTTTTCCTCCTAAGCTTTCACAATTCATGAAGAGGTTACAGGGAAGAAATAGCAACTGTAAGACCCCCCATGATATTGCTTTACGGACATAGAAAATGGAAAACCAAATTATGCAAAATCTTATCCGGATCTCTGATACGGTCAAACTATCATCAAACCTAATTATTGTTATCTCCCTTTGTATAATTCTCTAGTCATGAAAACAGTGATATATAAGCTCGGGTTCAGCTGGCGCTGTGGACATGCCTGGCAGTGACAGCTCAACAACATCTGAGTCAATGTGGGACACACTCTAACAAGTGAGTTCCATCTGTGAACCTCTCATTACACCGAAACATGTTTCACTGGTAACAGCCTATAAAACAGACAATGTCCTGTCTGAGATGGCCCGGTACATAGGAGGGAGATCCTTAAGAGACTTGTCCATGATAAGACCGCCTCCGTGGTCTAGTGGTAGAGCGTCCGCCCGGAGAGCGGAAGGTCCGGGGTTCGATCCCCTGCCGCGTCATACCAAAAGATGTTAAAAGATGGTACTTGTTGTTACCCTGTCTGGCGCTCGGCATTAAGGGGCTAAGACAAGGACTGGTCGGCTCGGAGTCAGTATACTGTGTCTGAGTGGGGTATTCATGTTAAACTGCGGCATGGTATCTCAGTGTGCTAGCACTATAAATCCCCAATCGTTCCGGACTAGTACAAGCAGCCACACACACACACATACACGGGCATGCACGTCGCTATATAAGTGCAATAATCTTGGACGCGACGTTAAACCCCATTTCACCTGTCCATGATAAAGTGTCATTTACAATCTTGGCTTCAATACTGTAGTTGTGAATTGCTAGATTAATATTCGAACAAGATATAGACAAACAGCAGGTTGGAATGAACAGCATCTGCTTCTGGTTCTATGGACACCACATACCTCAAAGTGTATCTGTCATAAATTAATACAGATTCAGATCAATGGTTCAATTATATTTTGGTTATCCTTTTTCCAGTTTTTACAAGGTACACTCTCCTGGAGGTGAGGGGAAATGGGGTTTAATGTCGCGTTCAAGATTATTACATTTATATAGCAATGTGTGTGTGTGCGTGTGCTTGTACTAGTCAGGACGAATGACGATTTAATAGCGCTAGCGCACTGAGATACCATGCCACAGTTCAACGTGAATACCCCACTCAGACACAGTTTACTGACTCTGAACCGACCAGTCCTTGTTTATTGCCGAGTGCCAGACAGAGGAAAAATAGGTACCATCTTTTAACATCTTTGGTCTGACGAGTCCGGGGATGGAACCCCAGACCTTCCGTTCGTCGGGTGGACACTCTACCACTAGAAAACAGAGGGGTCACTCAACATGAAGTCTGCCAGTTGAAGACAAGAAAACTTCAGGAAGGACACGTCATATTTTCTTGGGGAATTACCCTTGAACCATTAGGAAGGCCGGTCATTTCTGCAGACTAGTGAAAATAACAATTAATTTCTAACCCTGTTCATTTAAAAAAAATGAATTTTTTTAACATTTTAAAAAACTTTTGAGGTGGCATTTAACATTTTTATAACATTTAATTTTTTTTATGTTAGGTGGCATTTACTAACATTATTATATTTAAGCTTTTTTTATCTTAAGCTGAACTTTTTCACAAATCCTTGACATAGTTATATAGCTAGTACCCATCCTGCACTGACAGAAGAGACTCCATCGAACAGTCAACCCAAGTACTTGACTACACACAGCTATCAGCTGGATGTCAAGCAACTGACCTCCCATACAGTAACTCTATACCTAGTCCATGTAGGACCTTCAGTGTGTGTGGTGTCACAATACGGATCAAATGTCTGGACCGTGATGTTTACAACGGCTTACATCTGTGACAATGACCGAAGCTGAGACTACGATCACCTCTCAGTCATCCTTGTCTACGAAGTGTATGCAATAATTATAGACTACGATATCTTAGAGGTATTTAGCCCACACAAATCCAAGTGTCTGTTCAGCTATGTGCAAACTAGAATAATTTTCTTGAATCGTTTGGCTTTAAATACCTGGTTTTTTTATTAGTGTTTGTTTGTTGCCTAACGCCGCACTCAGCAGATATTCCAGCAATATAACAGCGGTCTGAAATAATCGAGTCTCGACCAGACAATCCAGTAACTGACATCATGAGCATCGATCCACACCATTGGATAAGATGACATTCATCAACCAAGACAGCGAGCCCAACCACCCAATCCCATAATCGCCTCTTATGACAAGCCTTTCACCACAACCATGGGTTGTTGAAGACATATTCTAACCCCGGATCTTCATGTGGCTGTGATTAGTGAAATCAATGAATTTAAATCAGTGACTTAATAACTCCAAACATTACACTCCACCAATGATATGAGGAACTCATAGCTTCCCTGACTCTAGTGTTATTTTGTATGTCATGGTAGAACCAGATATGTTATCTTGAACAAGGATCTGACCAAATCTCATTTATTACAGCAAATCAAGAACTGTGCACATCCTTTGCCTGGTAACCACATTTTCTTGCAAACAGTGTCCAAAATTACCGCTTCCCGTGGCTGGTAACTTTTATGTCGGGCTGTTTGAAATTTTTCTCCACCTACCCGACTGTCTGGCAGATAACTTTAAGACTACTTACCCATTCAGTTTCTTTATAACTCCTTGTGGATTCTCAAGAAATATATTGTTTGCATTATTTCTACTGAATCAAGACGAGATTTATCTCTCACTTTGTGCGACGTTTCAATATTGATAATGTCTGAATTCAGGACAAACTTTGAAGATGGTCAGGCAACATTAACTTTAAAGTACACTTCAAGTGAGTGAGTGAGTGAGTATAGTTTTACACCGCTTTTAGCAATATTCCAGCAATATCACGGCGGGGGACACCAGAAATGGGCATCACACATTGTACCCATGTCGGGAATTGAACCCGGGCCTTCCGCGTGACGAGCAAACGCTTTAACCACTAGGCTACCCGACCGCCCCGACGAACTTTGAAGATGGTCAGGCAACATTTATGGGTCACCGGGCCGACTGTCTTGTTGGGTCTAATGATTATTTCATACACTGCTTGCAATTGGCAGAACTATGTCAACAACAAGATGGCCTCCTATCGCCTGCCCTTGTACCTTTGAATGAGATCCCTGGCTTCCTCAGAGATAGGCACTTCTGGCGGGAAGATGAGAGTTTCTCGCCAGTTCATCACCTTCCTGTACGTCTCCTGGGGGTTCTCCGAACAAAATGGTGGGTAACCTACAAGGGGAAGGACATTCAAGGGTCAATGACAATCCTACTCAATAAACAATGAAAAAGAGTGGGTGAGTAGGTTTTGCATGTCCACAAGCAACATAAAAATGGTAATACTTGTATCATGAAACTCACTGGTTGCCCTATTTGGCTCTAGGAAGTCTAGTCTAGGAACTTTTGACAGGACATTCTTGAAAAAATTCTTAATGACATTTTGGATTACAGTGAATACAATCTGTCAATGTCCTAGAAATTGAACTGACCTGAAACCCTACCAACAAACCAAAAGGCATTAGGCTGGCCTGATCTTCTCAAAAACTAGTTTGTGTGTACACACAAATTTAATCAACCATGTAGCTGTTATCATCAAAACATTTCAGTTATCCCTAAATCCATAAAAGTTCAGCATTAGTCCTATAGTCCTTGCCCAACTGTCCAATAGCTAAAGTATCCTAAGGACTAGTAGAAATTTGGCATTTTCAAGGGTTTTGCTACATGTTATCATTATAAGGTGAGTGAGTGAGTGAGTTGGGTTTAACGCCGCTTTTAACAGTATTCCAGTCATATCACGGCTATCATTATAAGGACCAGTGGGATAAAACTGTTATCCGGTAGTTGTTATTGCTGAAGTTCCTTTTGTCTTTGAGTATATACATTTGTAGGTAAGACCACTGAGGAACTCCTCTGCGACCCGATCAAAGCGACAGTGTCAACACTGTATTATCCCCTTCCTCAACAGGTCATGACAGTTTGCTAACACCAGCAGGCAGCTTACATTAACCCCCACCTCACTTCCTCATCCTCATCACATCCCAGCCCAACAAAATGTGACCTTTGACATTTAGCCTTGACCTTAGTCTTCCTAACCTCATAACGACCAGCACTGGCCTTATGTTTATAATCCCTCTCTCTGACCTCCGACCTTTTCTTGTCATGAAGGCCAAACAACAGAGCATCTGGTCTTTTCAACAGGAGAATCCTTCAGATTTAATACAAATGTCAGTTTTTCCTTCTGTTGCCGCCCATGTCTTAGCCCCACCCAAGTCAAAGGAAGAATGTCTTCTCAGTCTGGTCATACATAATTCAATATTTGCTTTGTTAAGAAATACTGAGGAGTCACTGTCACTGTTATTACTCATGCTTAGCCCAATACTTGATAACTTCCTCAGAAAAGAATCTCGCATTTAATGTTTTGACCTACATAACACTGCTTTTGAAGTGTATTTCTTTTTTGCTACTAGCTTATATAAGCACCCATTATCGGGATCACAGTATCAGTGCTTCAGTTATTGTCATTGTGTTTTCTATAGTCTTATTTGCTTCTTCTTGTTTAACACTGTACTCAGCAATATTCCAGCTATGTGACGGCGGTCTGAAAATATTCATGTCTGGACCAGACAATCCAGTGATTGACATCATGGTTTTCTGTTGTCATATCTTCTTAGGTTTGATGCTGTTGATAACAAATGGATAGGGGGGTTGATGTCTCAGTATTTCAATATCAGTATGAAGTTCAGGTTGATATGAATGTTTCCCCACCACCCGTGATTCTGAACCAGAATTTGTTTGTTTGTTTGTTTGTTTGTTTGTTTGTTTGTTTGTTTGTTTAACGCTGCACTCAGCAATATTTCAACGTTATGCCTGCCCTGTAAATAACTGAGACTGGACCAGACAATCCAGTGAGTCACATCATGAGCATAGATCTACACAATTGGGATACGATGACATGCATCAACCAAGTCAGTAAGCCTGACCATCCAACCCCGTTAGTCGCCTCTTACAACAAGCATGGGTTTCTGAAGACCAATTCTAACCCGGAATGGAATCTTCGCAGATGCCTGGCAATAGAAACAGAAGGTCATTGCAGATATTGCTCAGACACTGGGGTCATTGATCTAGATCCCCCGACAACCGCAGCATTGACAATGGACTCTACTGATCCTACCTTGGTGTCATGTATTCAAAATGAACTACTTGAAAAACATTAATAACTCCGTAGAGGAGGAAACTTAAACTTGAAACCAGGTGTGGTGGGATCTGTTTTCAATGACTGTGTTTACACATTTTCACTCTTTCAAAATCTTGTGTTGAAAAGTGTTTGATGAAAAACCTGTTTGACAGGATTTCTTTAGAAAGTCTCAATTACACATCCATCAAACCTACACAATTACATGTGGAGATACATCTCAAATCATTTTTTGTGCAAACAAAATTGATGGCACTTTTTCACGGTTTATTTCTAAAGCATGGTGCATAGAATGATGTGGGACACAAAACAGATGCCATGCTTCTCCGAGTACCAGTGTTAAAGGGGGACTAACCATTATTTACTACCTACGAGCGAAAACAATATTGTGCCCTAGGATCATATCACGTCACAAGAAAACAGTGTCTTGTTTCCGTCATTCGGACAGCATTCAAATCTAGAAACGATGTCATAGATGAAGATTGTTGACGTAATTCGACGACTTGCTGTCCTTACAGATAAACACTACAATTCGTCTCTGTCTGTAGACATCTTCTTCGGTAATAAATAGAACATTATATTTGTGTTCACGTCATACTATGTTTACGACACTCGCTCTCGCTCGGGAAATACCGGTATTCACTACGACATGAACACTCATATAATATCCTCTTTGTTCAAACCTCCTACGGGTGTATGTACTATTTCTGTCTAGCAAGCTCATCTAGTAAGAGTCTAAAAATAATATCAAAATCTATAGGAAATGATGCTTATTGCCAAGTTCGAGCTAAAGTATTTGGCACAGTCTGCGTTCAGGATGGCCTGAATCTTGTCAATGAGATTCTTCCTGGAGGCAGGTCAAGGACCACACGGACAGGGAGTGTCCTCAGTGGTAGCATCATGCAAAATAGTCAAGGGGGTCCTTGTTTGTTCGTGATTTTCAGCAATATTCTAGCTATATGATAGCAGACTGTAAATAATCAAGTCTGGACAACACAGAACTTCACTAGTCTACTATTCTACTCTATTTGAACTAGTCTTTAGGACGCCTTATGTATTTTGGTTCAGACCATAGGACTAGTCCTAATTTCTAACCCTGCATAGGCTGAGAAGTGGGACAGGCTAAAAAGATCGATAATCAGAATTATGGTCAATGGGAAGAACTATCAACGATTATCGATATGACAATAGTGTCATCGATAATATCAACTATTGTGATGAAATCAAGTTTAAACTTACTGAATAGACTTGTTATTGTCAATCATGGTAATTGTCGAAGACAGAAAGCAACTGTTTTTGTTATATCAAAGTAATCCATGCATAAATGTGTCACCACTCACAAGTCCAGTTTCTTTCAGAATTGTTTTGCACATTTGCTCAAAGTTACTTCTCTGATATTTATCGATATTTTGTTTATGATTATTGATCCCCGATTATCTATAACAATAGCCAGCCCTACTGGGAACACATTATCAGATGGCCTAGTGTCAACACGGTCAAGAATGAGACCTAAACTGACCTATAAGCATCTCGTACATGATGACCCCCAGAGACCACCAATCACAGGTGCTCATGTAGCCATTCTGCATAAATACTTCAGGCGCGATGTAGTCAGGCGTTCCTACTGTGGAGTAGGCCTGAAACAGAACACCACATAATTACACCTCACTGCAACATAATTAAACCTTGCTGTATTTTGGTTTGGTTTGGTTTGGTTTGGTTTGCTGTTTTACGCAGCACTCAGCAATATTCCAGCTATATGACAGCGGTCTGTAAATAATCAAGTCTGGACCAGACAATCCAGTGAGTGATATCATGAGCATCAATGCTGACATGCTTCAGCCAAGTCAGCGAGCCTGACCACGCGATCCCGTTAGTCGCCTCTTACAACAAGCATAGTCACCTTTTACAGCAAGCATGGGTTGCTGAAGACCTATTCTACCCTGGATCCGTCACTGTAACACGAATCAGCCAAATATAAAGTGCTTGGGAATATACAAAATAAAGTGACTGTTTTGATATGAACAACTTGAAATGTATTGTGATAGGCTCACAAACAGTGAGTGAGTTGGGTTTAATGCCGCTTTCAACAGTATTTCAGTCATATCACGGCGTGTCAGCTTAATGTGGGGGGGAAAGCCTGAAGTGATGCACAGGTATGGTGCTGACAAATCTAGAAACATAATCAGGGCGAATCGGGATTCAAACCCACAATCATAGGTTTCTGGCATACCCAAGGGACGCAACTCTGCACAGTGAATTGAGACCTTAGAGGATTGGGCCACCCGTGACCCGGGCTCACAAACAGGGTCGAATCTAAACAAAGTGACTGTTAAATCAAAAATCAGGTAAAGGCTGCTACATAAGGAGTGGGATGCTTTCTTACTTCAACAGAGGAAAGTTGACTTTGAATTTGGTCAATATTTACTTCTACTTATTAAAAGTCTTCTTACCAATGCCCTTCGATTTCTCTTCCAGCTTTCTGCTCTTCTTTTTGAATCCATAGGATTCCCATCTGAAACAGTCAATGTCGTTTTGCAGGTAGGTACTGAGAGTGTGTGGCAAAACACGAGACTCTTTGACATCACAGTCAACACGATCAAAGCTGCAATCTGGGTGCAACTTAAAATCTACTAATCACTGCCTCAGTACTATATAAAAATAGTTGCCTTTACGACAAGAATAGTCGCTTTTTACGGCAAGACAGGGTTGCAGAAGACATATTCATCCCTGGATCTTTAAGGGTCCAAATTTATTTGATTCAAAGAACAGTCACTAGATTCAGGCCAAGTTGTACATGGTGTAACAATCAAAGATTCAAAACAATACATAAAGAGTTTAGCTGCTGGTTGAACTCACTAAAGTCCCCTGCTTTGGCTTGTGAGAGATCCTTGTAAAAGTCTGTTCGGTGCGACTTCTTCAATCCTGTACACAGTCCAAAGTCTGAAAGTTTGATATGTCCCTGAAACAAAAGAAGGAAATGAAAAGTTTGCAGGAATTCCATTCCATCATACAACCATAAACCTTCTGAAAGAAAAGCCAAATCTAAAAGTTAACATATGTAAGGCTAATTTTTTTTATTAGTCCTGGTTCTCAGGCACCGCCCGTATTTTTTTTAAATCTTCAAATATTCTGCGTCTCAAACACATGATACCAGCAGTGAAATGCTAAAATACTTAAGAACAGCATGTTTTCACCAAAATTATTGAAAATAAAATTTTCTTACATACAAGCTTGAACATCAAAACATCTTGACACCCATCAAAGGATGGTAAGATTGTACCAACATGGAGAGAACAAGACATCTCCCAAGTCTGACACTCATCCAAGGATGGTAAGATAGCACCAACATGGAGAGAACAAGACATCTCCCAAGCATGACACTCATCCAAGGATGGTAAGATAGCACCAACATGGAGAGAACAAGTCATCTCCCAAGTCTGACACTCATCCAAGGATGGTAAGATAGCACCAACATGGAGAGAACAAGACATCTCCCAAGTCTGACTCTCATCCAAGGATGGTAAGAAAGCACCAACATGGAGAGAACAAGACATCTCCCAAGTCTGACACTCATCCAAGGATGGTAAGATAGCACCAACATGGAGAGAACAAGGCATTTCCCAAGTCTGACACTCATCCAAGGATGGTAAGATAGCACCAACATGGAGAGAACAAGACATCTCCCAAGTCTGACACTCATCCAAGGATGGTAAGATAGCACCAACAGTCTGGTAGCATTAACAAGGAGAGTGTGAGTTGGGTTTAACGCCGCTTTTAACAGTATTCCAGTTACATCGCGGCGTATCAGCTTAATGTGGGAGGAAAGCTCGAAGTGATGCAGATCTCAGACGTTTACCACTTCGGTGAAACCCACGAGCACGGGTATGGTGCTGACAAACCTAGAAACATAATCGGGGCGAACCGGGATTCGAACCCACAATCATAGGTTTCTGGCGTGCCCAAGGGACGCAACTCTGCACAGCAAATCGCGGCGCCTTAGGCGACTGGGCCACCCGTGCCCCCAACAAGGAGAGACAAGGCGTTTTGATCACTACTGTGATATAAGTACAAAACATATCCTTTGTTACATACTCTACAATGATCACTTTCACATATTGAAGACAACAGAGATCACATGAGTTTAAATTGTGTTTTGATGCAGCTCCAGGTGGTACATTAACGCATAAGGAAACAGGTGCCCCTATTTCACAGTCTAATGAACACAGCCTCCGCCCTCAGCCAATACAAGCCACAACATTGTAGTAAGTGGAACAATGTGTAACTCAGTGTCCTGTTGCCTAGATGGCATGTTCAAAAAGTAACCTATTAGACCTGGTCTCATGAATATTGATTGACACGAAACATACATGGCCATGAAAAGGGAAGTGCGTGTAAGTTCACTGAACAAACTAAATGGGGCATGGTTGCCATTGCAGACATATAATTAAACCAACAAAGGCCATATCATGTCATTTGTATTCTGGATATGTCATCCCAAATTACAACGTGTTTACTAGGGATGTTTTACATGTGAGGAAAGAACATGTTTCAAACATTAACATAATTTTACTCATTCAGACATATTTTTTTCATGTTTTATGTTTCACAAGAGTAAATCATAAATGTGAACCTATTTAATACATTACCTTAGCATCCATTAAAAGATTATCTGGTTTAATATCTCGGTGTATAAAGCCGAGCTTGTGTATAGAATCTATAGCCAGCACAGATTCTGCGACGTAGAACTGGGCCTGCTCCTCTGTCAGCGTGTCCCTCTTCATCAACAGTGTCATCATGTCACCTGCACAGGAAGTAAGTGAGTAGGTGGGTGGGTGAGTGAGTGAGTGAGTGAGTGAGTGAGTGAGTGAGTGAGTGGGTGGGTGGGTGTGTGAGTGGGTGTGTTGGTGTGTGAGTGAGTGAGTGAGTGAGTGAGTGAGTGAGTGAGTGAGTGAGTGAGTGAGTGAGTGAGTGAGTGAGTGAGTAGGTGAGTTGGTGTGTGTGTGAGTGAGTGAGTGAGTAGGTGAGTGGGTGTGTGAGTGAGTGAGAGAGTAGGTGAGTGGGTGGGTGAGTGAGTGAGTAGGTGAGTGGGTGGGTGGGTGGGTGAGTGAGTGAGTGAGTGAGTGGGTGTGTGAGTGAGTGAGTGAGTGAGTGAGTGAGTAGGTGAGTGGGTGTGTGAGTGAGTGGGTGAGTAGGTGAGTGGGTGGGTGAGTGAGTGAGTGAGTGAGTAGGTGAGTGGATGGGTGAGTGGGTGAGTGAGTGAGTGAGTGAGTGAGTGAGTGAGTGAGTGAGTGAGTAGGTGAGTGAGTAGGTGAGTGAGTGTGTGAGTGAGTGAGTGAGTGAGTGAGTGAGTGAGTGAGTGAGTGAGTGAGTTGGTGGGTGGGTGAGTGAGTGAGTGAGTGAGTGAGTGAATGGGTGGGTGAGTGAGTGAGTGAGTGAGTGAGTGAGTGAGTGAGTGAGTGAGTGAGTGAGTGAGTGAGTAGGTGAGTGAGTGGGTGGGTGAGTGAGTGGGTGTGTAAGTGAGTGAGTGAGTGAGTGAGTAGGTGAGTGGGTGAGTGAGTGAGTGGGTGTGCGTGTGTCTGTGAGTGAGTGAGTGAGTGAGTGAGTGAGTGAGTGAGTGAGTGATTGCAGGGTTACAAACTAACAGTTTTCGGCCACTAGTCCTTATAATGATAACATATAGCAAAGACCTTAAAAAGGGCAAATTTCTACTAGTCCTTATGATACCTTTTCCATTGGTCAGTTTGGCAAGGACTATAGGACTAGTACCAATTTCTAACACTGTGATTGGGTGGGTGGATGGGTGAGTGAGTGAGACTGGAAAGTCTACTGTTTGGATTACCAGGGTTCAATTGTACTGACATTCCCAATAGTTATTATTCTGAGTGAGTATGGTTTTACGCCGCTTTTAGCAATATTCAAGCAATATCACGGCAGGGGACACCAGAAATGGGCTACACATATTGTACCCATGTCGGGAAGGGAACCCGGGTCTTCGGCTTCACGAGCAAACGCTTTAACCACTAGGCTTCCAGACAGTCCCGTTATTATCCTGAAGACTTTTTCCAGACTAACAGGATGTTCACAACATGAAGGATCCAAGGACCAGGTCCTTGAGGTTTGCTTCTGTAGTATTGAACCGGACACCCAAAGTCGGACTCCATGACAATAGAGAATTTTCTTGAACAGGAGTCCAACTCAAGTCTAGAATGATTTAGCAAGTCTAGCTTGCCTCAGCTGAGGATTGTTCTGGTCTCCATGTGGATTATATTCTATTTATTTTGTAGATATATATTTTTAAATATGATGACTTTATTTCTGGGACTAAATATCAGTCTCGGGACCCCTTAAATCTTTAACTTTTAACATGAGGGAAATGGCAATGACCCCTTGACATCCATACTTAACAATGAACATCCATCTTAAATTTTGAATGAGCAAAGTTTGAACAAATTGTGTTAAATTTGCAAGGACTAAAATGTGACCAGAGCTTGACTCACTTTTATACCACCAACAGCGAGAAGCCATGAAGCATCTCATCTCACATGACATGAAAGAGGGCGTTCTACCCATCTTGTGACATGACTATTACGATAAGCAGCAGAGCACAGGCGAGTGGACATTCCTACGTCTAGTTGGACTACTGTGGAGACACATCAGTGTGATTTATGTGCCAACAAGCATAGCAGTGTTTGAAATTAAGCATGAACGTCAACGGTCCTTGTCATTGCACTAATGTGTAACTTAAAAAGATTTAGGGGTCCCTAGATTCAGATACCGTACAGCGGTAAAAACTAATATTTTTAGCCCATGAGTCCTTATAATGATAACATATAGAAAAACCCTTAAAACTGGCAAATTTCTACTAGTGCTTATGATGCCTTAACTATTGGGCAGTTTGGCAAGGACTACAGGACAAGTGCCAATTTCTAACACTGATATATAACCTCAAGGACCCTAGGATGGCCCTCAATTATGATCACTGGCATAGGATATCCTATCCTTCACATGACGGACCAGTCCACAACACAAACCCTATGATTTTACTTCATCAGCTATTATTTTTCAGATGCATAAACTTCTTTGTAATATATGCAGGACTGTGCAAAGAATACTGGAAAAAGTCTAGTACCTGAAAAGCAGATATGTCAAATTCAAGTTTTGTCACTTACTTATTGACAACAGTGGCACAATAATATCTTTCAAAGTCAAGATAATTTATGGATAACAACTTCTTTATTTACTGTAAAGGCGTGGTTCGGTATAGATTCTTACACCGATGTGACTTGCTTGACAATAGAATAATGATCTATACTGAAACATCGCTTTTACAGTGAGTAAAGCAGTTATTATCCATAAATTATCTCTACTTTGTCATTCGTCAACTTCTAAGTAATGCCTATCAAACAGTTTATATCTTTTAAGTTTAAACTGGAACTTTCTCGAGGCGGTGGTGAAAAGAGATTTCAACACAACCTCTATATTTAAATATTTAACAAAGGCAAAAACTAGGCAACCATAACAAAAACACGACAAGGTGTCAGCGTACTCAGTTTTCGAAATTTATCATGAAAGTCAAGGAGTCATTGTCCCTTGTTAAGCCCAATTTTAAAAATTAAGATTCCAACACTGTAGCAGCTGACTTCCCAGGCCCAGGGCTCATCTTGAATTCAAACACAGCTCCTATGTACATTGTAAATGTGCTGGTTCTTCCCCAATATCAAGTCAAACAGAGCATAAAAGTATTATCATCCTGTCTGACTTAAACGATACCTTGCCTTCAGGCTGACCTGAACAGCACAATAAATCTTATCAAAGAAAACATAAAAAAGTCCCTTCCTCCATCAGACATGAAACACTAAAACAGGCCAATCTCTGAAGACATGGTCTACCACAATACTGAGTAAACCTTGTTATGGGAATGAAGTGTTTCAAATTAAGTGGCGTCCTGAGGTCCTTCAAGTCTGTTACTTTTCTATTTGAATCTAGTGACCTCTTTAAATGTTCAACAATTCACATTAAGGTGAAGACAAAAGGACTCTTGATAAGTATTTGGGGTAATAATAGGTCCCCAGCAAACTCTGCTGTTGTAAGAGGCGACTTTTGGATCAGGGGGTCAGGTTCGGTGATTTGGTTGATGCGTGTCATCGTACACCGACATGGATTCGCTGATCATAATATTAATCTCTGGTCCAGACTTGATTATTTACAGTCCGCCATCACATAGCTGGAATATTTATCAGTGTGGCTTTAAGCAACAAACAAGGGCCCCTTGACCTAGGGTTGGCGCATTGGCACATAAATCGGATTGCAATATATCGCAATACGGAGAGCTGTATTGTGATACATATTGGGGCCCAAATTATGTATATTTGTATATTTGTACTGTTCAAATGGTACTTCTTCATTCAATAATCCAGACTTCAGATTGCAAGATATGTAGTATGGATAAACGAGACTACATATTAAAGCTTTAGAAATTGGCACTAGTCCTGTAGTCCTTGCCAAACTGTCCAATAGTAAATGTATCAAAAGGACTAGAAGAAATTTGCCATTTTTAGGGGTTTTGCTATGTGTTATCATTATAAGGACTAGTAGACTGAAACTAGTTTCTACCGTTGTATTACAGCATCAATATGGAATGTAATGGTAAACATTGTGAAGCGTGTGCAGTTTACATGGTTTAGATAGGAACCCAGTCCATCCAAATGTCTCAAGATATGTATATAATTATATATTAATTCTTTGGACTATTTTGCAAAATATCAATATGCCATGGCTGTAATGCGATACGTGTATTGCTGACGGTCGTATTACAATATACCGGTGTACCAGTTATATTGCACACCCCTCCAAGGACCCCTTGTCTCATGTTGAATTACGACACTGGGGGCACTAGCAGCCCTTGTGGTCGGTCCTTGACGTACCTCCAGGAAGAAACTCCATGATGAGATAGAGATTCAGGCCGTCCTGAAAGGAGTAGTACATCTTCACCACCCACTGGTGATCTGCCTCCACGAGAATGTCCCGTTCAGCCCGGACATGTGCCACCTGCAACACAGGGCTCGCCATCACAACATTGTCAGAGAATCATTACAACGTTTCCCCAACATGTCATATCAAACCAGGATTAGTCCTACACATCATCAACAATGTTACACATTACCAACAAATTACGTACCCATTGCTATCAAAGATAACAAGTTCTTCCCAAGTTGTACCCTTTGCTAACAAGTCCAACTCATTGCTAACACGTCCAACTCATTGCTAACAAGTCCTACTCATTGCTAACAAGTCGTATCATTGCTAACTAGTTGCTAACATGTCCTACTCATTGCTAACAAGTCGTATCATTGCTAACTAGTTGCTAACATGTCCTACTCATTGCTAACATGTCCTTCTCATTGCTAACAAGTCCTACTCATTGCTAACAAGTCATATCATTGCTAACTAGTCATATCATTGCTAACTAGTTGCTAACAAGTCTAACTAGCTGCTAACAAGTCAAGCTCATTGCTAACAAGTCCTACTCATTGCTAACAAGTCGTATCATTGCTAACTAGTTGCTAACATGTCCTACTAATTGCTAACATGTCCTTATCATTGTTACGACACAGTCATTGCTAACAACTCCTACCCATTACCAAGCCTCACAACAGGTAATAATGCAAATAGAATATTTCAAAATATTCCAATGTTGACATGTGCCCGACGTCTTCAGGTTAAACATTAGATACATTTCCCTTAATTTCCTGGCTGAATGGTGAGAAGGCTCGTCATGTCCAGTATCTCCATACCTGGTCTTTTTCCAGCATATCTATCTTGCGAAGAATCTTCATTGCATAGACATGACCAGTGTCCTTCTTCTGTACCAAGCGTACCTGAAACACGGACACAGCATGTACTGCACTGCACTGAACATCCCACTCCATGCTGAACCCATCTTAATAGGGGAGTCTTCAATACACAGTGGCTTACGATATCTGAGGGTCCTGATGGGGGGTCCCATAAGCAGTAAGCAGTAAAATTTAGGGTACTTTTTCATTAAGCAGTTATTTTTTGGTATTCTCTGTTAAGCAAAGATGAATTTTACGTTTATGATGGTGTTTGAAGGGTGTTTTACGTTAAGCATTAAAACCCATCTCAGGACCCTTATAACTAAGTGTGCAGTGCTCGGCCACTAGTCCCAGATTACTGAAAATCTTGGGGGACAAGTTGTTTTTCTCCCCAAAATCAAGTTATTTTACATAAACCACCAGTTCCAAATGCTCTGCAGACTGGCTAGGTTTGACCAATGGTGTATACCCCTGGTTTTAAACTTTATTAAGCAATTAACTACAGCATTAAATGATGAAGCTAAACAGACTATGTCCCGGTTTCACACAGGGCACAAACTACAACATCTAGATTTCACGGAAACAGGCTAAGGAGTAGCCTTGCTCCAAGGCTGTACTGAAACATAAGTCCATGGATGTGTAGTAATTCCATCCTCCTAAAAGGCAAGTCTAGTACACCAGTCTCTTATAGGACAATTTATTGTTATTATTTACATAATCTAGAAATTATGATTCAAACTAATAATTATTCCCTAAGTGACTTGTGCAAGTCTAGCCAAGGAGCATTGTCCCTCTTTAAGTGGAAATTGTTTCCACAATGACTCCCAATCTTCACCGATGCCACGAAGACATTATCATCTTCTTCAAAGTGGCAGCGATCTACTTCAAGATCATCATTGTAAGTGTGTTATTCCCTGAATGCCCGTGTGTATTGTTCCGCTCCTGTTGTCTGGCCACTTCAAGCCTATCACGCGTCCCAAACCTGCCCCAAACCACATGTAAACATGGGAGCTAGGGTTCCCTCTATTAGTATCTAGTCAGCTGGTCAAGTCATCAGTAACACTTGGTGGCCGCCTCCCACTCTCAAACTGACCGCAGTGTTTAGTCTGGTCTTGGGGGGGCATTAGTTCCAAGTGGATGGTGGCTTCCCACTATCATGTTAACCCTTGATGTGTTGACTTACTTACAGACCCTTGAGCTTGTTGTCTTATAAAACAATCACCCTCATTCCACTCTCAGCTCTAGCAGCCGATACACATCCAATTTTCATCTCTAATGGAAGAGGCTTAAGGGTTCTTTAATTTTCAAGGGTTCTAATCTTTTATCTTATGCAGTCTAGTAAAATTTTGTTCAGTATAATAAGCTCAGCTAATAGTAGTCCACATAATGACACCAAAATCTACTGAAAATGTTGAGAGCCTAGATTGGGCTTGCAGACTCAAACGTTTTTGTCACAGGCTATTCATGTAATCTTATACATAGAGAATCTCACCCGAGTGTCTTTTGATATCAAATATATCAACACGAGTTGATAAAAGTGGAAAAATTCCGAGGCTTGACGAGGTATTTTGCCACTTTTATCAACGATTGTTGATATATTTGATATCAAAAGACACGAGGGTGAGATTTTATTTATCATCCAACATCATTCTTCCAACTTTTTCAATTTATAGACAGTAATTAGCAGTGTCTTCAGTGTAAAAAGTACTGCTAACATATTCAGTAGCAGAGCCATTAGTGATGTCATTGGATTGTGACGTCATGGTAACCAGTGACGTCACAATGGTCTGCAAAGCATTGTGATGTAATTTCATTGCAGCGATATCTACAGTGTAGTTATCGTTTGATCTAATCCAACCCATATCTCCTGTGGGAGCCAGTTTTGGATGATAAATAACTATACATACATAATTATATTTCAAGAACAATATGATAGCCTCCATTATTGGGTTTCCTGTTTTAAGTCATAGGGATAGATTCCTGATTATGTTAGAGCCCTTTGATTTGAGGTATGTTCTTTTCTATCATTATTGGAGATTTCAATTCAATATTAAAATATTTCAGATGATACAAGTGTAAAAAAATCATCAAATAAACTCCTGCCAGGCCTCGGTTCCAAGCAACTAATATCAGCATATTTAGACAACAATCATTTAGCTGCATCACAGCAAGGGTTAACAGAATTCCCCTACCCCCTTCAAGCATCCTGTAAAGTTCTTTATCCCTGGTTTCCACAAATCCCATGGATGATTAACAAGGCTTGTTGTACCTGACCCCGGGTTCACAGAGGCTGCACCGTAACCATCAGAGGTGGTTGAACGCTGTGAGTATCTTGTCCATTGTAAAACCATAAATTATAGATAAGCCTACTGATAGCATCCATTGTAAACACATAAAGCCATAAAAGTGATGCTGGTTGATTGCCCTCTTGTGGTTCTCGCTGTACGGCGATCACATACTACTGACGTTGAAGTGCCCTTATAACAATATAATATCGGGAATTGTTGGTTGATTTATTGTGACTCATCCCGTATATCACACTTCCACTTGAACCCTTTTAAGTCACCTAAATCTCAACAACAACATGTCAAGTAATGGAACAGTGTCTTAAGTTGCAGTTCAGAATGATCCAGTTATACCATGGCAGCCTGTAAATAGTAGAGTCTTGTCCAGGAAAACCAGTGGTTAACAGGATGAGGAACAATTTCAGCAACCAGAATGCCGTTGTACGAAGCAATCTTAGCGCTAAGGTGATCGTAGCTCCCATACCTTAACAAAGACTTATGACAGTCTTAGCGCTAAGGTTGTACAACAGCACCCAGGACATAAAGATCAAGTAAAACCATGGCAGCCTGTGAATTAATGAGTCTTGTCCAGACAAGCCAGTGGTTAATACGACGAGAAACAATCTCAGCCATCAGGACATGAAGATACACATTGTATTTCTATCATGCCAAACTCATCACTATTCCAGCTATATGACAGCAATCTGTAAATAACCTGGACAGACAATCCAGTGACTGATACAATGAGCAACGATCCATGCAGTACAGTGACACTCAATGAAATCAAGTCAACGAGCCTGACCACCCAATCCATTACGTCAGCTCATATGACTAGCCTGGGTCGCTCAGGAGACCAATTCCATCCTGGAATCACCAGGGAAGTCACACAATGTAAGCAACCGATTCTCATCAGTCATTACAGTACTTCAGACCTTGTATACCCCCTTCCCCTTCTCTATCTCCCCCCTTCCTAAACCAATGCTTTACCACGGAACTTTCATAATGGGATAAAACATTCATCTTTTCTTTCCATTTATTTGTTTGTTGTTTAACCCCGCACTCAGCAATATTCCAGCTATATGACGGCGGACTGTAAATAATCAAGTCTGGACCAGACAATCCAGGGATTGACATCATGAACATCGATCCACGCAATTGGGATCGATGAAATGCATCAACCAAGTCAGCGAGCCTGACCACCCGATCCCGTTAGTCGCCTTTTACGACAAGCATCGTCCCTTTTACGGCAAGCATTTCTTTCCAAACCACACCTCAGAGCTTCAATATTAAGTGACATCTTGTCCAATCTTGATAAAACGTGGGAATAACTTAAGGTGATATGACAATATATAGTTCAAACAATGAACCAATGGTTTGCAAGTAACAATGGGAAACACTGTCTACTGATTAGTAACAGAAATCACGGAAGTTGTGTGTGCATCAAGCTCCAGTCTGAAGATGATGTAGCTGCATTAATACATCAATGAACCACCCACAGAGAAGGCTGTCTTCACAAGAACTGCCCGTCTTGTGGAGCTACAGAAGACTTTCACAAGTCTCTATGGCAATAATTATTAGCTTAAATCATAATTTCTATATTATATAAATAATAAGAACAATTGTCCCCATAAAAGACCTGTACTGTCCGCTTATCTAGAATTGCCTATTATATTATGCCTTTGTTCACCCAGCAGTGCATGGGTACCCGGTAGGATGAGATGGCAAAGGGGTAGTAAACCTTCCAATGCCTAACAGGCAGCTAGGGTTGTATACTCCCCAGGGAGCTGAGAATGACTGTCGAGTGCACAATGATCATTGACTGAGGCAATAATGCATATAAATCAGTAACGACATATAAAAAGATCCCGTTCTTCGCCTCTTACGACAAGCATACATCCCATCAATGAAGTTGCTTTGTATGACAAGGACAGGTTGCTGGGGAAAAATTTTAAGCCAGAATCCCCTCTACTCTCTATATTATAAGGGCTTGAGCATACAAACACAGGCAGTGATAGAAATTGTCACCCGTCCTATAGTCCTTGCCAAACTGCTTAATAGTTAAGTATCATAAGGACAAGTAGAGATTTGACATTGATAAGGGTTTTGGTATGTGTTTTTATATAAGGATGAGGGGATAAAAAAAAGTTTGTTTCTTTGTAATTTTTGTAAACAAGTAATGTGTTTTTCATAAATTGTAAATGAACTTCCCTGATCAATCAATGTTTACAACAAAAGATGGCAAATATGCCATAGCTATTGTCCTGCATATTTCCCATTGTCTTGTGAACAGTCTGCCACGCCAGACGGACGCAATATCGCCACTGACTTCACGTCACACTGGAATCATTGACCCGCTTGAGCTCAACACGTTTTTCTTCCTATTTTGTTAATGAATACGACTGGTGGCTTTTATCAAGAAGCAGGTGCTTGTGATAGGTTGATGTTGTTACCATGGCAACAGTACACACTAATCACAGCATTACATCATCAATTTTCTGCAACCAACAGAGCAGTTGAAAGCCTCATCGCAACCAGCTCGCACAGAAGCATGAAGCATGTTACTGCAGATATCTAGGATGATGAATTATTCATGAAAAGGTAAACCTGTCAAGAATGTTCCTCTGAGGAAATACTGTATTGCTTCTTTGTTTGTTTTCAAATGAAATCCATGGAGTGAGAAATGGAATAAGTGATACAGAGGAGGGGGGGGGTTGAAATGTCAACTCCAACCATGTCATAGATCCAAAAATAATTCTGCCT